GAGGCCAACAAAATCCTTTCATCCATTATAATCGGTTTTTTTTTCTTTTTTGGACAATGACAATGAAAATAAATTATAATCGATTTTTTTCCACTTTACTGAGATGCAAACTTCAACGCACATAAAATCTTCCCTAAGTTTTAAATTTATGTTGGTTACGTTGGTTACTTGTTGTTAGATTTAATTTTTTTCTGTCTAGTTTTGATATTTTCGTAACTTTTTTATGTTACTGAAAAACTGAATTTTGTTCGTTTCAACAATTTTGTTAGTTTATTAGAAAATTTGGGGGTGAGGGGGGTAAAATTAGAGGTGGACTAGTCTCCCTTCCCTTACCCCCTTAGCGTTTGTCCATTCACAACAACCCCCCCCCCCCCCACGTAACGGGGGGGGTTCAGGTGGGGGAGTGGGCGGGTTCAGGGGGTGTTCAGGTGGGAGGGTTGTTCAGGTGGGGGGGGGGGGGGGGCTGTTCAGGGGGTGGGGGGGTTAACTGGGAGAGCAAAGGGGCAAATGTTGGGGGGGGGGAGAGCTTAAGGCTCTTTTCCAGTTCCCCCTTTTTCAAAATACCGAGTTTTATGTATGTATTACGTGTTATTACGGCTAAATGCGTGATGTTACGATGTAAGTATGAAGAACAAATCTGTTCACAATTGTCGATTTGCTCACCACGCTAAATTTTATTGCATTATGATAACGTTAAATAAAATTTTTGGATTTGAATTTGAAAGGGGGGAAACTGGAAAAGAGCCGAGCTTAACAGAATTTTTTTGCAATTTGAGTTTAGGTTTAGAAATGAATTAAGCCGTACAGTCGCTTTGCAAAGTTTCCGCATAACTCACTTGATAAATGCAGAAATTCTTGCAAAAATTTGCCCGACGCGCGAAACAAAAATAAAGGGGAAAAATCCTTTTTAATGTGATTTCCTACTTATTTTAAAATCCATTATAATGGATTCCAAGTGAAATATAATGCATTTTGTTTTGGCGAGAAAAAATGGATTTAAAGCCATTTTTAGTCCAATTTTGTTGTCTGAACGTAACATGAGAATCGATTATATTTACAATATTTTAGACAACGAAAATCCATTATAATCGATTTGTTTTCACTTTTCTTAAATGCGGGTAATCACTAGATATCATTTCAAACTTCGTTGAGAGCAATGTTTTTTTTTATAGGTGTCGGCCGCTTTTTAGGTTTTTGTCGACCTTTTTTTAGGTCAACCAATATGATCTTCTGAGTTCCACTGAATTGTTAAAAAGACCGTATTTCAACTACAATTTATGCGCCGCTAAAACAGGCTGAAAAAAGCGTTTTTAGACCGTTTCGTGGAAAATTTAAACCAAAAAGTTGAGTTTTTTGGGCGCTTGCTCCTCCTAGATATTAGTAAATTAGTATATATTGACACCCAAGGCGCATGATTCAGAAAAAATTTAGGTATCAGTCAGCCAAAAATGGATAGAAAATGCCCCCCCCCTTAATTTGTTGCTGGGCCAGATACTTTTTTGACAATTTCTAATGTATTGCGCAAGATGTTCGCCCAAACTCTTTCCGGTCGTTTTAAAAACAGCTATAAATGTCCGATCTAATTCTCATAAAATGTATTTATTAGAAATAATTTGTACGAAAACTCTTTATTTCACTAAGTTGCTGAAATGCTTTTTCCTTTTTTGATATATGTCTAGAAATAGTTTTCATTTTGGCCAACAGTGCTTCGGAATTTTTTCGGTCAATTTCTAAAAATAATTGCAGAAAAATCTCATATTATTGCGGTGTTCTCCAGCATCCAAAATATTGATATAAATAGTTGGTAGTTTTTAGGCGAAAAATCTTTGCCTCAAAACCTGAACTTTTCTTCTTCGAAATTTAATTGGTCACTTATATAGTATACAATAAATCTTTAAAGTTCAAAAATCAAGTACCGCTCTTTCACCGCCCCTTTGAATGGACTAGATTTATTCGAGCGAGATAGAATTCCCCAAGAATATTGGGCGGACTGTTTACCGCGAATTTGACCGTTCAGCTCCGGAAGGCAAAAAACACTGGTATTAACCGAATATAATCATTATATATAGAAATGTCTTCGAAGATTCGAACAGAATAAATAATTTTAATTTCATGCTACTGGTAAACAAACGCTATTTTAAGTGGATATGTAATCTTGGTCATGTTGCAATGAAAAAAGATAAGCGCATCTCATCGACCAAAAACATAGCCTATTCTGGTATCATTTTCAAAATTATCAAAAAAGTAAATACTGATTGTGGCGTCTCATACTAATCATGTCATTCAGTATTATCCCTTTACGAATACTTTTCTGTAATTTAGTTAAGGTTGCTCATATTTAGGTATAAGGTGTTTTAAGGAACTCAAACAGAACGAAAACTCAACAAAACTGCTTGAATTGAGGCAAAGCCATGATAGTTCCGATTGCCATCTATATGTTGCTTTTGATGCAGATTTTTGCAGAAGCATTGATAACATTTTTTTTGAAAATTTGAATTTTTTGTTTTTTCTTGTAAAAATAACTTTAAAAACAAGGTGATATATCTGCGTCTGTTAATGAGAACTTGAAACCATTAGCATCCCTCAATTCACTTAAACTCCAGTAACAAGTCGAAAAATAGTCGCACAGGTTTTATCTTTGTAGATGAGCTCAGGACATCTTTATCTTTTTTTAGAAAAGAAGTTGAATCTTGAAGAGAAAACTTATTGAGGAGAAACACAGTGGTGTTTGCAGAAATTTTTCTAGGGGGAGGGGGGCGGTTTTTGAAAATTTTATTGACCTTTTATTAGGTCCACCAATTTGATTTTCCGAGCTCTCCGAAAATACTACAAGGACGCTGTTTTGTCAAAAAACAAGTTTGCGCCGCAGCAATTTTTTTTTAAAAACAGGCCTTTTGAAAAATGGATCCCACTAAATTATACCACGCTACTGAGGAGAAATATTTCATTACTCTCGTTGAAAGTCGAAACAAAATGTTTACACAACGGCACACCCGAAAAAGTAAATACTATGATATGTAAACCTACTGCTACATTTTGAAATACAAAAAACCTATTTCAGCTAGAGCTCTACTTTGAAGTTAAGATAAACCGGATCTTTCTAACTCTCCCTTTTGATACCTAGTAACGAATTGTCACCCCTGTAATGAAACAAGACTGCTCATATCAGGGCAAAGCCCTGAATGTTCCGACTGGCTTTTAAGATCTATGGAGCAGGAATAACATGAAAAAATTAAAACTAATAAAAATAAAATGAATTTTGCTTTTTTAATTAGAGATCTTTTCATCCAAATCATCCCCCCACACGCCGTATAAAGTACAGAGTGATAAATAACGCTCGTAGTAACATATCATTTATAGCAAATAATCTTCCTTCAACCAATTTGGACCGATTTCTACGACAGATTAAATCTCCGCTGACGCGTTAATAGCGCGAAACACATCCCGCGTTAATAGTCTCAAATAAGTCAAAATAGCGATCTTTAAAGCCCCATAATTTTACGAAAAATGATCTCAGGTGAAATATCTTTCAAAAGTAAGCTCAGGAGAACAATACTTTTCAAATGATATAAAAAATTATGTTAAAAATGGCTACTTAAAAAGTCAAAACTTGTCTGAAGAAAAAAAAAACCCACACCGAGTACAAATATTCCGTTACTTTCGTATCGAAAGTCGGAACAATAATACAACGGTTAAACATCTGCAATTTTTTTTACCAAGTAACAATTTTTTTGCAAAAGGGGCTGGAGAAAGTTAAAGAGATCCAATGAACCTTGATTTCATCATTCATGGTGCTATACTCAAGCAACCTTAATTTCAAAAATAACAAATCTGTTCTTTCATTTTTATTTGCTAAGCCCTTCAGTTATAGTTCAAAAAATTGTTGTAAAATGATAAACTTCTATTAATGAAACAGAAGTTTATCAAATTTTAGTTGATCGCACTTTTTTTATGGGTATAAAAGCCTTTGACATGCACTTAAAAACAATTTACAGAACAATTGTTTTCGACTGATGTCAAGAGAAAACGGCACATCTTAGAAAACATAGTCGATAATACCCCGGAAGTTCTGCGAGTTTTCAGTTTACTGTTAAACAAATGAACGCAAACTCAATTTTTCCCCAGTTTTTCAACACTTTGGAACAACAGTTTTTGCAAGCATGAGCAAAGTTTTTGGGGGAACCGAGATGAAAATGATCTAGGCTACTCTTTATAGCGATTTCAAACGTTTACAGAAGCCATAAAAATCAAAGTCTTTGGTATTTTTCAAATGTTGCATAAATTTAACAACTAGCGCGTACTAGTCGCGCAAATTACTTTGGTCGCACAAAGTTGTAACATATCCATTTTGAGCTGCAATGGTTGCAAAATACCCGATTTGGGTCGCAATGGTGGCAACATAAGTCCCCGACCTCGTCCCTGGTCAGAATCAGTGGGTTCATTTTAAAGACATGTGGATTACTAGGACAGAAAATCGATCAAGTGGCAAGGAAATCGGGCACTATAGCCAGAAAATGAAAAAACCAGGTATTTTCGGTGCGCAGTTTAAAATTTTGGAAAACGGTGCAATCATGAATTATTCACCACACACAGCTTGGGTTCGGGAGGACTGCAAGCAACCACGGGTAATTAGACACAATGGTCTCGCTTTTGTACCGGATCCACGGGTCTATGGAAAATGCCGCCCAGCAGCCCTTAAAGACTTTATTGCTTATAAACACTTACCCAGAGTAAAACATCGTGTTTCAGTAAAAAGCCCAAAGCAAGACAAACCAAAACAGGCCACCAATCAAATGGTACCCGAAATTCAAAAGACGAAAGTCAGCCCGAAAAAACCGCCTCCAAAAAACCTGGAACAAATTCTTTCACAATCCAGGAATCGACGAGTGTTAGGACATGACGGCCTGTTCACGGGGAACACCCAGAAAGAAAAAAATACCGCGGAAACAAATCAGGACATCTCTGCCAAAGGGCAACCAACTGGCAAGCAAAACCCAGTGAATCAAACTTAAAAAAAGCAGACTCGCAAATACGGATATCTAATTTGAATGCGATACGTCTATCTCATTATCGGATACGGAACTCAATCGCAAAACACCTTCCCCTAAAAAACCAGCTTCTAAAAGACTGGACACTAAGAAAACACCATAGGATTTTAGCCAATAATGTCGCCGCTCCATGAGGACTCGTACTTGGCAATGCTATACCGATAAGCACCATAGAAGCGCAAAACATAGACAACCGCAACGTAGTCTGTCAAATAGATGTAGTCCCGACACCAGAGGCAGTATCAAAAGATACAGGCAGCGCCACACCTCAACAAGAATCTCAAGAGGTAATTTCATTGTCATCCTCAGTAGAGCGCGTGGAGATCCAGTTGGAACCAGTTACACCGGAGAACGTTAGAGCCTCCAGCCAACAAAAGGACAATGTCCTCAAAACTCCGACACAAGTGTGCGAACAAAAAGACTCGCCAACATCAGCTGCTCAACAACAGAGGGCAATCAGCTCGAGGTACGTCATTGATTGACCACCACAAGCCACTACTCCTGATGCGACTTTCTTGAAGAGTTTTGACTCAGCGATGAAAATTTTGAAAGAAATCTCACCGATCAAAAACTCCATGACGTTTCAAAGAGAGAGAGAAACAACATCGAAAAACGCTGTGGACAACCTATCTTCACCAACGGACGCTGCGGATATTCTGCCAAAAACATCAACCGAGGAAAAAACCGAAAATAAGCGTAATTTTCTTTTCAAAAAAGGGGAGTGTTATCCAGTGGATAGTAAGAAAACTCAGCTTATCAGATAGTTCATACAGGTAATAAAGCCAAAAACATATTATTATGTTGATAGAATTCCTCGGCGCTACATATACATACATAACCAGTTGGTATATTTACATATTCTATAGAGATCTGTGATAATACGTTATTAGTAAACCTAACTCATTATGTACTAGTTCTTATGAGTTCTGACTCTCACATGCTTTCGAGGTTAGTTCAAAACAGAAACAGATTCTCGTTTAACAAACTGAATTTAAGTTGAACAAGCTCTTCTTATTTCGAACGCCATTCAGAATCTCAATCCAGCTTACGCTATGGTCATTCCGTGGGTATAGCAATGATCTAGGCTACTGGGAGATGAAAATGATATAGGCTGCTCTTTATAGCGATTTCAAACGTTTACAGAAGCCATAAAAACCAAAGTCTTTGGTATTTTTCAATTGTTGCATAAATTTGACAACTAGCGCGTACTAGTCGCGCAAGTTACTTCGGTCGCACAAAGTTGCAACATACCCATTTTGAGTTGCAATGGTTGCAACATACCCGATTTGGGTCGCAGTGGTGGCAACATAAGTCCCCGACCTCGTACCTGGTCAGAATCAGTGGGTTCATTTTAAAGACATGTGGATTTGAAAATCAAACGATGCCGTAGATAGAATTGACCAAACATCTCTTAGTCATTATTCATTATTTTGCAGAGATATCCTTGTAACGCACTCAAAGTTATGCATCATGATCCAGTTTCAAACGTACTATATAATGAACTGATAATAGTTTCACCGAGCTACTAATGCATTGTTTTGAGTGATCCACTGCAAATTTTATGCTAAGCATCAAATACAGCAAAAACAACCAGCAAAACGATTACGACCTCAGCAATAACAACTGGTTACGACTTATCTCAAAACAACTTATACCATCATGCTTTCAAGTTTCAGCTCACCATTAGGTGAGCGTTACAAGCAAAGAACGCTCTATTTATAACTAGATCATCTTTTTTGCAAACTAATACTCACGTTTCCTGTCATTTTAAAGTTAAGGTTAAAAAATTGAGCTGCCTGGTATATAATATCGAGAGTACAGTTTAAAGCTATTTGCGCACTTAGTGCGCAGATCTTGCGCTAGCCCGCTCAGAACTGTGCATTATGGGTTCGATACGACTTCACACAGTGCAGTCGATGATACCTAGAAAATAATTAGGTGTTCAACTCATTGCCGTTTATAGAAAAGAATTATAACGAGTCAAAGCAAACAACTGTTGTAATTAATGAGAATAGGCCGCATGTGATTTGGATTAATTTTGCCCGTTATAATTATTTTTTGAATGATACCGCTAAACCAGTCATTCTAACAAATTCTAAGGTCAGCTTATATCACAGCTTGTCTCAGGAAGCAGGGCAACAATGTTTTCGAAATGGCTTTGCAAGTAGAATAATTCGCTTTTTAACTTGTAGCCTTTTTCTTATCTAAGTATCAGATGAATATATTTGTTTCAATTCTAGAGCCTGCCATAAACTAAGAGCCACGAATCTTCTAAAAACGTTTTCAAGATAATACAAACAAAGAATTGCGTCTTAAGAAACGAAGAATTCATGAGCTTTGCGCCCAATTGATTCAATTGAAAAGCCCTTATTTCAACTGTATTGTATTATCAACTTGGTCCATTTTAATCTGAAGGGTGAGAATAATTGCAAACTTTGAACATTTGGTTTCATTTTTTATGCAAACACAATATCAAAGCTTATAATAAAACGATACAAAGTTTCGAATATTTTTTCAAATTTTGTAGCTGATGATTATTATCCCAACCAAAGACCCGGGTTGACCTCCATACACCGAAAATGCTTATCATACAATTCCATACATCAAGTGTATGGAAAAAATGCTTGTCATACAATTTTCATACAATTTTGAAAAATGATAGAAGAAAGGTTTAAACTAATTTCTGCGGCTGATTGATTCTAATAAAACAGTCGGGTGATGAAAAAATTGAGCTTTTTGTTTTTTGAAAAAAACCTTTATCATACAATTCCCATATATGGAAATTGTATGATAAGCATTTTTTTCATTATTGATAAAGTTTTCAGAAATCTTTTGAAAAGGTTTTTTAAGAAGCTGTATAAAATAGAAAAGCGGCTTTGGCTCAAGGTAGGTTGTTTTTTCTGCGAAAACAGCATTTCAGTTTGGAATGAAAAAAATGCTTATCATACAATTCCCATATATGGAAATTGTATGATAAGCATTTTTTTCATCATTGATAAAATTTTCAGAAATCTTTTGAAAAGGTTTGTTGAGATTGCACGTTTTATGGGATGGGCTTTGACGTAATTTTTGCCTGACTTCATTTTAAAAAAGTGGTAATCATACAATTTTCATAAATGGGAAACTTCTAATTTTACAATATCCATATATGGGAAAATGTTTATCATAGAGATTTCATACAATTTTCTGTACGTATGGAATTGTATGGAATTGTATGACAAGAAGTTTCTCATATATGGAAATTGTATGATTAGAAGTTTTGGTCAACCCGGGGATGTATTTTGAAGAGAGTCAGCGGACGCTCTCCTTTCAAGGATTACTTCCCTCGCCAACCAAAGGATCCCCTTTGGTACTTTATTACGGTATCAATTTCGGCCAACTGACCCTGAAATCTTTCTAAAAGCACTAGACTAAGTTTGAGGGATAGAAAATTCTGAAAAAGCGATATTTTTGGTCAAGCGATATTTTTGGTGATATTTTTTGAAAAGTACTTAAAAACGGCAGTGTTGGCCTGCTTTTTTCAAAAAATTTTCTGCACTGCAGAAATTTTATTTAACAAAAGAAGTTTTTATTAGTATTTTGAGAGATCTTGGGAAAAACAATTCGATTAAAAAAATCAACAAAATCCCCATGATTCTAACCCAAGCAGGGGAAACCGGAATTTTTTGTTAAGCGTAGGTGCGTTTGAACGAGAATTTCAATGAAATATTTCAGCAATGAATAAAAATTGAGCTCTGGTAACCCTTACGACTGTTGTTAAAACAGATATTTGCGGTTCTGCATGTTAGTAACTTGGAATAATTTTCTCAGTTAGTACTTCCCAATACCCTTTTGATGGTTACGTAGCAGTATTTAGGCAACCGCGTATTCAGACTCGTCAGTAAGCAGACAAATTATGTATTAACCAATCAGAATCGAGACAAGGAAGAAATTAATAAATAATAATTAATTATTTCGTAAGTTTGCTTTCTCATCTCGATTCTGATTGGTTAAAACAGTTTTTGTCTGCTCACTGACGAGTATAAATACGCGGTTGTCTAAATACAGGCCGCACTCCCCTTTTGATATCGCATAACTTGTCTGCTTTGTCCCATGTACAATTTTTGAGATTTTCTTCTCTAATGTCTTTTTGAGAAAATGGTTTTTTTTCTTGTTCAAATTCACAGTTTGAAATTATTCTACGCCTCTTTATCATCGTTGGTTTCTGAAGAAAAATGGATAGTTCATTATCATTTCATGTATTGTGGGTTTTCTCACTAATTGGACAGAATAGTTGCGCAAGCGGAGCATCATGGGGTACCTGTCAAGTTCATATGATGCAAATAGAAGATTCTGAAGTGATTGCAGACATCCGGTAAATTCTTTTCATCTGATTTATAATGAAATTTTTTAAAAAAAGTTTGGGTTTCTTAAAATATCAGAAAAGCGTTGAAAAACGTTCGCGCTTTTATTTTGTGTTTTATTGGTTATACCTCCCTTGCTTCTATTTCATCCCAGATTCGATTAAAAACAAAAAAAAATGTTTTCATCACATAATCGGATCAACAGGAAAAAACAAACAGTAGCAATAAAGTCATATGACATGGGGTATTCTCATTATGATGGTCTCGAATGCTGGAAAAATTTCAACCAATCAAATCTTTAAATGTTCTCATTGGTCAAATGATTTTCGCACAAAGTCAATAATAACAGAAACCAGTTTCGGGTTATTATTTGTCTGCTTATGTTTTTGTCGGCTTAGTTGCCAGATCTATAAATCGTTTTTTGCGAGCAATCAAATTTCTCGGTCCGTAGTTGCTACAACAGTCTTAGCAATTTAAAAAATGCAGCCGAATTGAAGTTTGTTTTTTTTACTTCGCTTGTATTTTCATCAACTCTAATTTTTAAAATTTTTTTTTTTCAGCTTTTATCTCCTTGTTTATTTTCATCAGTATCGGCTTACTTTTATCTCCTGGTTTGTTTTCATCAGTATCGGCTTATATTATATCTATTTAGTAATCGTCCCTGATTGCATCGTTTGATCATCGAGATTTTTTTGTTTTATTTTGTGTAAGTGTGTGTATATGTGTGTGTGTGTGTGTGTGTGTGTGTGTGTGTGTGTGTTTGTTTGTTGTGAGGGGAAGAAAGACTTTTTTAAAATTTTTTGATTTTTCTTCTCGGTATGAAGGGTTTCTTCTGAGATTTTTTTTCTGTTTGGTTTCAGCTTGGAAACTTTATTCCGATGATTTTTTGCATGTTATCGCCGGCCGTAGAATTTTTTTCAAAGATCTTCATTAAATTTTTTTTATTGATTGGTATAGTAATAAAACGTCGATATTACTTTTTTGCTGATGATTTTTCGGCTTTCGGTTTTGCGCTCGGTTTAGCTTTCGAATTGAGTTTACCACCTTGGTTTCAGTACTTATGTGGTTTTTTTGTTTGATAAATGTGCAGTAAATGTACATTTTACAATAATATTTTGCCGAGCACTTTTAGTTGATAG